ACTGAATTTCAGTAATAAAGGTGTTGTTGTAACTAATACACACATGAAATTAAGATTGATTCATTTAAAACAACAATTTACAAAGAAAATTAAAAAAACTGATTAAAATCTTCTTCCTTTTCCGATTGATAACATTATCTGTCAAAGATAAAGAAGTAACTAAGACAACAGAAGAGAATAGAATAAACGTGTTTGTCATGTGACTTTGATATTCTATTGTTGCTATGGAAACAAAAAAGAATAGAATTTAAAATAAATTCTATTCTCTTTAGTAAGCAACAGGTGTTCATTCTCGCTTCTGTTTAAACAGAAAATTGTCATTAATTAATTTAGTTTTCTAAATGAAAATTTGTTTATTAATATTTATAATTGTGATTGATAATTAATTGTTATTGATTATAAAAATGATTAAGTCCAAAAGAACAAGAAATCGTCAATTGCGGCTCAACTTTAATCAATACCAACAAAACTACATACAAAATTTGCCAAATCTCAGCAGTGTTGAGACAGATTGTGTTCAACCTAATGTTCAAGATGAACCTTCATGTGATTCTGAAAATGATTCTGGTGCTCAGAATCGACATGATCAGATTCCCACTACGAGAATTTACCAATCACCCTCGCTGAGAAACTATATTGAAGTGTTTTTTTCGTCCATGCTGTCTCATGTTGGCTTAAATTTAACCACAGCCGAGCAAATGGTGAACCTCATCAACAATTTCAATCGAAGATATTCAGAAGATCCAGTTCTTTTACCGAACTTGCGTTATTTTTGGGAAAAGCGAACAAAAACTTGTGATGTTTCTGTCTACATTTTGTGTGAAAAAAACCACGCACATGGACCTTTCAATGGAGAACCAAAAGGCTATCAGCCATTCAACTGTGATGGAAAAGAAATAATTCCTCAATTGAAAGAAAACAAATATTTTCTTCACTTGCCTTTACGTCCTCAGTTAGAAACACATCTTCCAACAATGAAACAATCATTCTGGCAAGAAACACGAGAAGAAGATGTTTGTAATGATGTATCCAATGAACTTCAAGCTAAAAAGATAAAAACTGGACATTGTGGTAATTCTGTGAAAAGATTCACACTTACACTCCATTCAGATGAAGTGGTAGCAGGAAATTCTTCAAGTATCAAAATATTTCCTATTTTCGCTTCTATTAACGATTTGAAACCTTTATATCGGAAGAAACACTTTTATCTAATTGGATTGTTTGTTGGAAAAACCAAACCAAGTGTCGAAATTTATCTGAATCCTATTTGCAAAGAGCTGAATAGCCTTTCAAATAACTGTGTGACTTGGTTTTCAAAATCTGATAATCTACATTTGAAAGCGACTTTTCATGTTGTTTGTGTTATCGCAGATGCTCCTATGAGAGCATATCTACGAAGTGTTAGGCAATTTAACCACTTGAATGGTTGCGATTGGTGCCTGATTACAGCTTCATCGGCTAATAATGCGAGAGTTTTCCCAAATCTTCAACGTGATGAGATTCAAGATCTTAGACGGAAGAAAGAAGATTTCATTTCTTATCGAGATTTTCTATCACAAGGTGACCAAGAAGAAAGTTTACCTCGATTTAGAGGATTGATTGGCAACTCCATTAATGATCCTGAACGATTTCGATATAGTCAATGGAATATCGGTCGAACCAATGCATTGCATTATATTGGGTATTTTTCGAGGATTATTGCTAAGATGTTGGCTTGGAGATGGAGGATCAGATATTTATGAGCAGAATTTCAACAAAACGACTTTCAAAATAGAACTTTCTCAGAGACTAGTCCAAATTTCAGTTCCTTCAGAGGTTAATCGAATTCCAAGAGATCTGGATCAGATAAAATTTTGGAAATCCGCTGAATATGAAAACTTTCTTGTGTATTATTCATACTCTACATTGAGAGGATTACTCAAACCTAGAGTCTTACAAAATCTTTCTTGTCTCATCAGAATTTATAATCAAGCTCATGGTGGAACAATTTCTCATGAAAAGCTCGAAGAATTGAAAAATCTCATTGAAGAATTTCAGCAAGGACTGGTGGAGTTTTATGGACCAAAAGTGTTAACATATAATTTACATATTCTGTCTCACCTTCCAGACTCATTAGAAAATCTTGGTCCATGCGGAAATGTTTCTTCATATCCTTTAGAAAGTTACATGGGAATATTAAAAGAGAAAGTCAGACGTTCATCAAATATAGCACCAAGTTTGGTTCGAACATTCATCAGTGACTTCAAGTATTCGGAGTTATTGGAAAGTCAAGCTGAAAATTGGAACTTGTCAACAAAAGAAAGAAAAGACTTTGGAATGGCTGATATGGATAACAAGGATCACATTCACATCACATTCAAGAGACAAAATATTGATTCCCAAAGAGCTGAAAATATCCTTCAGATGATGAATGAATCTACTGGATTTCATTTTGAATCAGATGCTCAATTTTGTCAAACAATGTCTATCAATGGAATCAGGTATTCTTCAAGAGGATATTGTCGAGATAAACAAAGAGACGATTCTACAGTGAAAAGTTCCAGTGGGGATTATGTATCTGTAGAATATATCGTTAAGCACAACGCCAATGAATTTTTGTTGTGTGGTCAGAAAATTCAAGTTTCTCCGATAAAACAATCATTCAAAGGAGTATCTGGCTCGTTTTCGTTCATTCTCGACCATATTAAAGAGATTAAGAATAGTTTTCTGAACGATTCAATCAACTCTATCATTCCAACATCGGAGATTATCTCTAAATCTATTTTCATTGAAAGTACAAATTTCCATTATAAATATCATCGAAATTTTCTTGTTGATCAATTTCTCATGAACAAGTAAAGAAAATCACTTTGGAAGCTATTGTAAGTATGAATAAGCCAAAAATTCTAAATCGAATATTAATTGTTCTCTTTTCTTTTCTATTCAGATCAAGCTCCAGAAAGTGATCTTTTTTCTACTTTTTCGTGAAAATTTCTCCGATTTTTATCAACAATTTTTTTTATTTCTGATTTTTAAACAAGTGAACAACTACAATAATCAAGTTTTACCCCAATTTATGATCAAAAAATCAAATTAATATTGAATTTCAATTCGTTCAAGTGCAAACCCGTGAAATTGTCAAAAAGCTATTAATCGGCTCCATTCAAATCTATTCTCCTATCAATTTACTTTCTTTTTAATCCTCATATATCGAATCTAATCATCGAAATGGAACTAAATTTCAATTCAACAAACCAAGAAAATGGATATAAATCAACAAGTAAGTAGAAAATCAAAATTCGTATGTGATTCATTTCATTTTGACTAATGTCCATTTCTCATCATCTCTTTCAGTACTTTTTAATGTTACATTTGAATCAGAACCCGGCCCATTCAAACTTAAATTCAAGCAATTTGTTACTGACACTAAAAGTCCTGAGAATTTGGTCAACATTGAAAATCATGAATCTGATCAAGAATCAACAAACGAAAATCCTGATGACGAGAATTCTAGTAATGATGGTGATAAAAGTGAAAGAGATCAAGAATCTGATTTAGAAAGCGTTGAAAAGCTCACTGAAAGAAAAAAGCCATTTGAAGATGATGATTCTAGATCAACTATCACAAATTCACAGGATTCTGAATCTCAAATAATTCTCTCTCAAGAAAGCATCATGGATTTCAGCCAAGAAACACCACAAATGGATTGGAATTAGATTCCTAAATCCTAATTCATCTTTATAACGCACTTTTTATTTAGTCAAAATTATCCAGATCTTAAAATTTTCTACCCACACAACACAATTGCAAATCTTTTTTGAAAATTTACTTTTTTATCCAAAATATTAGACATTTCCAATATTTCAAACAAAACCGAAATCTTATTCTTTCAGATCTCAAAGAGAAATCAAATTCACAATATCAAATAAATTTTTGTTGACAATTTAAGAATAAGATCAAATTTTCTCAAAGAAAAATAATCAACATATGTTTGAATTTTTCCATTTTCAAGTTGCGCGTTTTTTGAAAATCGGAAAATATCCGCGATATTTGAACTTTATCAAAATCGTGAGTTTAATTGCAATCAAAATTGAATCTAATGAAACCATTTTGATTCAAAAAAAATTTTGAACCAAAATGATTCAAGAAAAAAAATTTCCTGATTCAAAAATGAATCATTACAACTTCATTTTGCTTCATGAAAAAAATTTCTGTTGATTGGGAAACATCAGTTCATTATTGTACTGTGCTATCCATTGCTTGTGTAATTATATTCCTAGACTGGCTCGCTATTGGATCTACATATCCTGCTATGGATTTAGATCTGAGATGAATCTACATATCCGATTTGTGAGCTACCCAATACGTGAACCAACGCACTCAATTCTCTAAGTCTCAAATTATGATTAGATGCTGCATCTGAAGAAACGGAACTGATAGCATTGGTGGAACTTTTTGAATTAATTCCATTATCAATTGATTGGAGGCTATTCACTGCTGAAGAAACACTTGATAAAGAACCATTAGTTGCTCTAGGATTTCGATATCCAGGTTTATTGTCACCAAAACCAGCACCAGAAACAGGAGCCTGGTTCAATAAAGATGACATGAGAATCATGAAGATAGTGGTGAGCGAAAAGATTAAAGGCCATAAATTGATTGAAACTCATCGTTTTAATCGTAATTAACACTTTAAATTTAAATTTAACTGTTAGAAACGTTCACTTATTCAGACGAAGATTTAATTTAACTATGATTTTCCCTTCAAATGATTCAACCTTTTATGTGATTTTCTTTCAATGTCAACGTGTTGTTTTACCCTCGATAAAGTTACCTGAATAAACTAAAACATAATTAGATTATCTCTATGATAATTGGGATCATCAAAAAATCACCAAAAGATATCAAGCTGATAATATACTCAGTGATAAACAGTTTCGTCTACTTTTTATCAAGTTTAGGTTGTTTGTAAATTGAATTTACAACCAAATGAAAACGGAAACTGTTCTCTGAATGTTTAATTTTAAAAGGAAATACAACCAAAATAATTGTCTGGTAACTTCAATTCCAAGTAAGTGACAAGTAGTACAAGAGATCAAAATTAGAAGAAAACAAAACAATAACAAAATATTAATGAGGAGATAATTTAACGAAAATTGGATTGATTAAAGTGGAAAGTAAAAGAGAAAAGTTATCACAATTAAAAAGTGTTTCTCTATGCGCGATATTTCATTTTTCGTGGCTGTAGATTGGAGGTTAGTCCAAATTTAGACTAATTCTTTCCTATCGGGGTCTATTTAATATTCGTAACGATGAAAATTTCTTAAAAGTCCAATCCCATTGAATTTTTATCATCATCTATCTTAATCACTGAATCATTTTAACCTCAATCCTTTGATGAATTTCTCAGAACTTTTTCATGCGCAAACGAGCCTAGGAAAGGCTTCCAGATCTCTTCTTTGTGTTTCAACTTTTGGTGGTGAATAAAAGTTGATCGAATTGTCCATTTTGATTCAATCGTAGCGGAAATTGGTGGAATTTGATGATCGACGATTTACCATAATCAACGGGAACCACGGTAGCTCTATTTCTAAAAAACTGTTGATTCAGAGATATTTCCAATGGATGAACTTTAATTGACTCCTTTTCCATTGATGACAATTTATCGACATTTCCAATTTTACTAACACTTGCACTTGACTGTAAATTAAAATGAATAAATAGTAATGTTACTAACGAGATAAATGAATTAGCAAATCACTTATAGTGAAAATGGAAAATTAATGAGTTTACCTTCCTGAGCTTACGAACGAGAAGGTATATAAGTCCACCGATAAAAGCTGCCCAACCACCGATAGCGACGAGATAGAAAACCGATAAGATGACCTTTGGAGCTAAAATGAGACCAACCTTGAGTAGATAAAATAAAAATCCATCCAATGTACTTGATATTTCGATCCACCCCAAAGGAACAATTGTGTCACGGATATTGTTAAAACCACGAAGAAATGGAACCCGTTCAACTCTAAGGTTGAACTGTAATCGACCTGCACCCGATATTGGTATTCCAATATCAGGCTGAACTAATAAGTAGAATTCATGTTTCTCTGGATCTGGCGATAAACCGTCAACCTGTCCCTGAATTTCTGAATCTGTGTCGAGAAAATGTGGCCTAGTTATTATGATCGGAGGCCCAGAAAATCCACCGGTACAATCAAGGAGACCATAGTGTTCACATCGTGATTTCTTTTTCCTTGTATGGACACAATAACATCCATTGGCTGGATTAACACTCGGAGGGTCAAATACTTCGGGTCCAAGAACATATTTAAATCCGGGAATCCCGAAATAATCAGAATCCCCAACATGAGTTAAATCCAATGATCTAAAAGTTTTTGAATATTAATAGTTTAAATTAGCTGATCAATTCGTGGACAGTCTAACTTACCTGTAAATGTCAGAGATGAACACAGTTAATTTAGTTTTCCTTGCAATTAAGGGTTGAAATTGGATTCCATCAGTCCCCTTGGGGGTATTACATTCAGAGCCAGTCCATCGATCCATTGATCTGATGAAAGATTTAACAATTATGATTATTTAATTTTTTCTCATGAAAGTTGAAACAATTGCATTTTAATTTCCAAGTGAGAACTTCAAGATCATTAACTATTAATTCGAGCCCATGATTCAAGTTCTTATCTTAATTTGATATGAAAATTCAATATTCGTTTCAAATTAATGATCAACTTTTTTTCTTATTCAAAAACAATCGATTTCCAATCTAAATTTAATTCTAGTTTATACCTTTGAATGCAAGTGAATTATGAAACAATTGCTAGAATTGTTAATCGATCAGAATTTTAAAGAGTTAAATTACTAATTATCGAAGTAATCAAAAATCAATCGAATTTTAATTGTGACTCATTTAGATTACCTTTCGTTTCTAAATGCAATTGTACTTGTATACATTTCCTTTGGCACTTCGATACCTGTGTAAATTTCTAGAGGTCCTAATCGGGTGAAATTTCGGCTATTAAGAATTCCAATTGAATTATTGGGTAATTCTGATGTTGGAAATACATCGGAAGCCATAATGCCCAACAGTTCGAGAGGTTTGAGAAGAGTGGTCACTGTATCCAGAAGATTAACTCGAAGTCCAGTAATAAGACTTCGAGGTGTAGTTTTAAGGAAAAAGTTCTGACTGTGGACAAATAGAACCACAGAAACAACTGAATAGACGAAAGGACTGACAGCCAATGGGATGGGAGTTAATTGTTCCAATTTATCTCCAACAATTGCCCCAGTTGAAGCTACAAATGGATTAAGAACAGTGATTTCTTGATCCCATGATCCGTTTGATTGTTCGTACAGAATTTGATAATTACGGCACTCGTAATATTTGATTGTCCTTTCACCGAATCCAATTACCTCTTTCCACCTTTGCTCTCTAATAACAATAAAATAACAATTAACTTACTTTAATTACTTACAGATGAATGAAATCACTGAGAACTTACGATAATACGAAAGGTCCAACCTCGCGAACTTTTAATTTATCTCCTTTCAAGAATTGATCGGGATTTTCAATGTTAAATAAATTGAACTTATTTATAATTTTTATTGGTATTCTTTCCCAGAACTTGTAAGCTAGACACCAAGGATCGATTTTCATTTGTGAACTGATTATCTTTTCTATAGCCCAGGGTTGGAGGGTAGCGAATAGAGTTCCAAAAATCCCAGCGATCGCTCCATAACGAATGAACTTGGCCCTAAAAGGGCGGCCTGACTTTTTAAAGTCTACCATATTCTCAATCTATTTTTTACAACTTTTAGCATTTAAAACTATTCGATTTTCTTTAAATTCATCACAATTAAGATTCAGTTCCAAAACCAATAAACAACTAATAATAAACAGCACAGAGAAAGAATTATTAATAAAAACTTTCAAAATGTCCCAAATTCATAAATCATTAATTGTGAACACGAATAAATATCAATAATCATTAATATCTCTTATGCTCGAGAGACAATAATTCAAATTGAATCAGATTAATTCAATTCATTCACACTTTCCATTACCTCCATCTATCAGAAAGATTATCAATCTAAAATTGCTTAATTAGTTTCCATTACAAGTGTGATTAACTATAACTCAAACAATTAATTCATCTTTATGGTGCAATGTGAAACAAATTCAATAATCGAAAGACATCAAGTGAATAAACCACTCTGTAATAAACGGTAACAATAATTCAGATCTATTACGATTATATTTCCACTTCTATTCATTGAAACTTTTCATGCATTTTTACCTCCATCTATGAGATAGATTATCAAAATTTGATAATTAAATTAAATTTGACAGAATTTGATAATTACGCCACTATGAGATAGATGATCAATCTGAAATTTCATCATTAGTTTCGATTAAAATGGATACAAATAAAAATGGTAAGAGATGTGTTCAGAGATACAGTGTGTTCACGAAAAACATGCAAGGCCTCGATATTTTTTTATTCGTTAAGAAACTTGATGATATTTTCATCAAGTAATTGTCTCCAGATAAGCTATCAAATAAAATTGAGAATTCAATTGAATTTAGCCTACTTTCATTTTTATTACAATTTTTGAAATCTGAAGATTCATGACTCATCGGAATGAATAATCAGAATTTCTCTGAATTCGGTACTGACAACTAGTACTTTTTGGTCTTATTTTTTTGTTTATGAACTGATGAACAAAGAAGATCAGGTTTCACAGCGCGGTGGTAAAGGATTTTATGTTGTGAACGTGCTCAATCAGCTAATTCAATATTGCTGAATCTAATTTGAAAAGCAATTTTGAATCCGACATCAAATAAAAATGTTATCAACAATCAAACCCTAGCACACAATTGATGAACAAACTGTATGATACTGGCCTTGGTTATGGTACGTGGGCTGGATCAAACGCTATTTGGTGATCTAGTTCTAGTTCGATAGATAATTTAATGTTCGAATACTAGTTATGGTTCAGGATGGAATACTGGATTGTGACCTCATTGTCCGAAATTTATCCAGACTATCTCACACAGTGACACATAATAAATGAGAATTTTTTTACTATTGACATTAATAGATCGAAATTTTTAAGTTCACTTTTCTTTATTGATAATATTTCATAATGTATGTAAGGTCATGAAAAGAAATTTTATCATCAAGAAGCAGATTTAGATTTTTATTATTTATAATATTAATTAATTAGACACATAAATAGTTAGTAATTTAACTAAATCGAATGATTGAATGATGACGGCTATTTTCTTCCTTTAAAAACCCAAGCTTTTCCTTTCTAACGACACTCACATTTTATTAAGAGTCAAGTAAAGTTTCTTAAACTTTTTACATTTTCTATTCTTTTTATTTTATATACTAAGATAAATTGTCTTATTTCATTTGTTTCATCGACAAAACTAAACTTGTGTTGTATCCGAATCAGTTTTATTCTATTTTCTAATAAAATTTATACTAAATAACTTCGGTGTACAACAAAACTCAATTTTCGAACAAAATGAATTGATTTACTATCTCAATTGAGATCCAAATTGCTGAAAGTTTTCAATAGCTAAGGATGTTTGGTTGGTGGAGGTTGTTGAAACTCCCCTTTGAGACTGACCTCTAGCAGCAGCAGCAGCAGCAGCAGCACCCTGACCATAACCATAACCACCAGCACCAGAACCAGCACCAGCACCAGCACCAGCACCAGAACCCTGACTACAACCACCAGAACCCTGACCATAACCAGAACCAGCACCAGAACCAGCACCAGAACCAGCACCAGAACCAGCACCAGAACCAGCACCAGAACCAGCACCAGAACCAGCACCAAAAGCTGAACCAGCACCAGCACCAGAACCCTGACCAGAACCACCAGGACCAGCCCCAGGACCAAAACCTGAATCAGCACCAGTACCAGAACCAGAACCAGCACCAGAACCCTGACCATAACCACCAGAACCAGCACCAGAACCAAAACCTGAACCAGCAACAGGACCAAAAGCTGAACCAGCACCAAGACCAGAACCAGTATATTGGTGGGATAAAGATGGCATAAGAACCATGAATATAGTGGTGAGCGAAAAGAAATTAACGACCATAAATGGTTTGAAACTCATTGTTTTAATCGTGATTAATACTTTAAATTTTAACTGCTCGAAACGTTCACTTACTCAGATTAAAATTTGGTAAGATGAGCGTTAATGGTTGGAGGTGGAGCTAATAGCTATCCAACACACTTATCCCTGTGTTTGTTTAAATTAGGTTAGGTTAGGTCTTCATTAAAAGGGTCAAAATCGACAGAGGAAGGCCCGGAGGCCTGGGACAATCAAAGCACAATTAACCCAAAATTCAGCTTAATTTCAACACTTTGAACTAATGGACACCATCGATAAGTGTGTTGAATAACCACTGGCTCCACCTCCAACCATTAACGCTCATCTTACCTAAAATTTTATTTAACTATGATTTTTCTTTTCAAACGATTTCGCCTTTTATTTGATTTTCTAACATATCAACGTGTTATTTTGGCCTCGCTAAAGTTACCTGAACAAACTCAAACATAAATTAGATTATATCTATGACAATCGTAATGTAATAATCAAAAGATATCAAGCTGATAAAATACTCAGTGATAAACATCTACATTTTATCAAAGTCACTTTTGTTTGTCACCGTTTTGTAAATTGAATTTACAATCAAATGAAAACGGGAACAGTTCTCACCAATGTTAAATTGTAAAAAAAATTACAACCGAATGATATTTTCTGGTAACTGAATTGAAATTTCAATTCCAAGTAAATTCCAAGCAACCTTAATAAGTTGATAAGTTCCATAATTTTTCTGCACACGTTAGTAAATGTTTATCTATGCTCGATTTTTTATTTGATGGCTGTGAAAGTTGGAAGTTAGTCCACATTTAGACTTATATAGAATAAATAGTAATTATTAATACTATAACATTAATGTTATTAACGAGATAAATGAATTAGTCAATCACTTATAGTGAAAATGGAAAATTAATGAGTTTACCTTCCTGAGCTTACGAACGAGAAGGTATATAAGTCCACCGATAAAAGCTGCCCAACCACCAATAGCGACGAGATAGAAAACCGATAAGATGACCTTTGGAGCTATGGAGATAATAATAGTAGAATTCATGTTTCTCTGGATCTGGCGATAGACCGTCAACTTGTCCCTGAACTTCTGAGTCTGTGTCGAGAAAATGCGGCCTAGTTATTATGTATAATCGGAGGCCCAGAAAATCCACCGGTACAATCGAGGAGACCATAGTGTTCACATCGTGATTTCTTTTCCCTTGTATGGACACAATAACATCCATTGGCTGGATTAACACTCGGAGGGTCGAATACTTCAGGTCCAAGAACATATTTAAATCCAGGAATCCCGAAATAATCAGAATCCCCGACATAAGTCAAATCCAACGATCTAAACGTTTTTGAATATTAATAGTTTCTAACTTTCTAGTTATTAGCTAATCAATTCGTGGACAATCCAATTAAATTGTCCACTGAATAGATCATTGAATTGATCGTTGAATAGTTACAAGCTAGTTAACTTACCTGTAAATGTCAGAAATGAACACAGTTAATCTAGTTTTTCTTGCAATTAAGGGTTGAAATTGGATTCCATCAGTCCCTCGAGGGGTATTACATTCAGATCCAGTCCATTGATCCATCGATCTGATCAAAAATCTAACAATTATCATTATTTAATTTTTTCTCATGAAACAATTGCATCTTAATTTCCAAGCTGGAAGTTCACGATCATTAACTATTAATTCGAGCCTATGATTCAAGTTCTTATCTTAATTTGATATGAAAATTCAATATTCGTTTCAAATTAATGATCAATTCGGCTATTTAGAAATCCAATTGAATTATTGGGTAATTCTGACGTTAGAAATACATCGGAAGCCATAATGCCCAACAGTTCGAGAGGTTTGAGAAGAGTGGTCACTGTGTCCAGAAGATTAACTCGAAGTCCAGTTATAAGACTTCGAGGTGTAGTTTTAAGGAAAAAGTTCTGACTGTGGACAAATAGAACCACAGAAACAACTGAATAGACGAAAGGACTGACAGCCAATGGGATGGGAATTAATTGTTCCAATTTATCTCCGACAATTGCCACAGTTGAAGCTACAAATGGATTAAGAACAGTAATCTCTTGATCCCAAGATCCGTTTGATTGTTCGTACAGAATTTGATAATTACGCCACTCGTAATATTTGATTGTCCTTTCACCGAATTCAATTACCTCTTTCCATCTTTGCTCTCTAATAACAATAAAATAACAATTTAATTGATGACCTTTTCTATGGCCCAGGGTTGGAGGGCAGCGAATAGAGTTCCAAGAATCCCAGAAATCACTCCATAACGAATGAACTTGACCGATAAAGGGCGACCCGACTTTTTAGAGTCTACCATATTCTCAATCTCTTTTTTTTATAACTTTTAGCATTATTTTTTTCTTCGTAATCATAACTATTTGATTTTCTTTAAATTCATCACAATTAAGATTCAGTTCCAAACTCAACAACCAAATTAAACCACCAATAATAAACAGCACAGAGAAAGAATTATTATAATAAAAAAATTCGAAATGTTCCAAATTTACATATCATTAATTGTGAGCACGAATAAATATCAATAATTATTAATATCTCTTATGCTCGAGAGACAATAATTCAAATTGAATCAGATTAATTCAATTCATTCACACTTTCCATTACCTCCATCTATCAGATAAATTATCAATCTAAAATTGCTTAATTAGTTTCCATTACAATTAGGATTAACTATAAACAATTAGTTCATCTTCATGGTATTCGAAACAAATTAGATAATCAATAGATACCAAGTGAGTGAACTACTCCGTAATTAACGATTTGACTCCATAGCCACGAAAATTATTATCGGGTGGGCAGAAAAGGATGTAAACTCACAACTTGTCAGTATAAAACTCAGGGCGAATAACATGAAAGTAATTTTTTTAGAAAGTAGAAGGTTGAAAATGATGTTGACCAAACTCTTACGATTTAAAAAGTTCTGACCTCTGGGATATTATAATCCAAAATTAAGGTTAATTTTCCGTCGAAAATTGGCCTTTTTCCCCTATAAATCGGCTTCTGGTCACTTTACAGGGATGAAAAAAATGCCAATCCAAAGCTTAAGTAAAAATCGTTAGGATAAACTTGGTTCTGTTAAATTAAAAGACCTAAAAGTTATGGCATTTTTTTCAAAATTCGCCATAGTAGTTTTGGATGCTAAAAAAGGTGAACCAAAAAATCCCTATGTTAAAAATCCCATAGACAAATTAACAATTAACTAAATTGCGACGACAATTTAAGCAATTAAAACATAAAAATTGGGATTCTACCATTTTCAACCTTTCTCTTTCTAAAAAAGTTACTTTCGTGTTAATAGCCCTATGTTTTATACTGAGTTTACATCCTTTTCTGCCCACCCGATAATAATTGTGAAAGATTTTATCAAATATGAATAAGGAGATCATTAACAACTACCATGTTAACCACTCGATATTCTGAATCATTTTGATCTTTATGCTTTTGTGAATTTCATATTTTTAATTATATTAATTATTAATTTCAATAATAATGTATATTGAAATGAAACGGCATGAAAAGTTGTCGGTGCAATAAAAATTCATGATCTGAAAACTTATCGTTACGGATAAAAAGTGACCTGAAGTTTCAACATAGATTTTCTCGAAAACTGCTGATCAGATCCGAAAGAAATAAATATATTTGGACTTCATATTTGTAGCCCTACAAATACACAAAGTTTCAACTTTTAACTCAAAACTAAAATTTGGTTTACATTCTCCTTAGGAAATGATTTTGAATATGAAAAAATATCCAAGTATCAAGTTAATCATCTGTAATGATTAATACATTAACATGCATTTATCATGCATTGGACAATAACTCAGATTGATTGGGATTAATATCCATTTCTATTCAATTCATCGAGACCTACAATAGATTTTTACCTTCATCTAAGACATAAATATCTTCATTATACAGTGATTCCCGATTGAAGAAACTAAACCACCAAATGAAGAAACCAAGTTTTCATTTGAAGAAACCCCAATGGTTTTACTCGTATACCAATTGAGATCAATGATACGAGACTTCGGACCTTCATTTTTTGATTATTAATTTTAGAGCGAAAATCGATTTAGAAATGAAGTTTCATATTCAAAATCATCATACATGTGATTTAAATTTAATTTCGACTTAGAATTAATTAATCACAATTAAAAGTCGTTTTGGTTTGTTCAAATGAAAACTTGGTTTCTTCATTTTATGGTTTGGTTTCTTCAAATGAAAACTAGAAGCGAATTTTTATTTTTGGTTTCTTCAAATGAAAAAAAGGTTTTCACATTTGAAAGTTTGGTTTCTTCAATCGGGAAACACTGTAATAATAGTATGGATTTAGCTTTAGCATAAGCCGAGTCGATAGTTGCTCGTACTTTTTCAATCTTACTCGTGATTACGGACTCTCCGGAGAACTTGAATTTAATTTGTCGAGCGTTAAGACACTTTTTGTCTATGGAAAAAAATTAACAAGATAATTAGTTGGATTATTTTGATTCTGGAAAGTTAATACAGAGGTGATTTCACTTAGAGAAACTTCACTTAGAGAAATTATCAGCGCCCCCTACATAACTGAAAAGGTTAATTTCTTAAAAAAAAGGTGAACTAACACCTTACCTTTTCCAAGCCTAAAGGTACTAATCCACCAGGAGGAGACTGTGAAGACCAACTTTCCCTAAGTGAAATCACCTCTGTAGTGTTGTTTTTCATTGTTTTTCTCTCTTAGTCTCACCTGAGCAAATAGTGTTTGATGACATTCCCTGATCAGGAGGTGTGAAGGTGAAGTAAAAACTTTCATCCTTATCATCCTAATCATCATCATCTACAACCTGAATGTTTCTTTAACCAAGAAAATGGTGATCCAATAATCAGCAACTAATATTATCTTCCTCCTTCTCTTTCACCATCATCATCATTTCACCAATTCAATTTAGCTCCAATTGTAAACATGAAAAACTTGATCAATCATAAGCATTACAATAAGTAAAATTATTTCTCAATAAAGTTAATCAATGGCTCTAAAACCTGCAACAATTAAATTAGCAAAACTTTTCCTTTTAACTGTAACAATCAAACCCACAACAATTAACTGTAGTTAAAAAAAATTCCTCAACTGTTGTAGTACAGTGTAGAAAAAAATGAACTTCAAACGCCATCTAGCAGTTAGAATATCAACTAATTTATCTAAAGAAAATTTCTCAATTTTTTCCATCATTTAATCACTTTTAACTTTTTTCAATGTAATTCTCTGGAAATTCAAGATGAAATTGATTAATCACACCTTTAAAAAGTCACAATTAATAATTTAAATCCCAGAACTTGCCACTAAATGGGCAATACAAATAAAGAGGAGAGGAAAAGATGATTAAAGAAAAGTTGGTTAACAACTTGATTGCTACAGTTGCAAGTTAAGTTGATAGCTTAATTAATTAAAAGTAATTAACGCAATCGAATAGTTGCAGGCGAGAATTGACCACAGTATTGAGATTATCAAGTGATGAGACATTTTTCTCTTAAAAATAATCAAGTAAATGAAGAGCAACTTTTAACCAATTTTTGACAATTTTTCGAGTAAATTTGAATACAACTAAATAAGTTGCTTTTTCTAACACATACAAAACCAGTTGTAACTAGTTTTTAATCAATAACAAATAATTTATTCAAACGTAACTGAATTTTTCTGAGTCATTGAAATCATAAAGGGAAACCATTTTATAGTTGATTAAATCAAAAGTAGAAGTTAAAAGTTTATATAAATAATATTTGATATCCTTGAATTGTATTATTGACCTGCAAAAATATTCTAAGATGATCTTTTTAAAGATCGTTCAGTGAATTGGTATATTGTTCCATATTAGATGGGAATCCAAGTATTATGACAGGTGAATAAGTTTCACTTGTTGCTTAGCAATTATTTTAAACCATTTGCATAAATAGTTTTCTATGGTTTTAATATAAAAAGGTTGAGTTTTTGTTGAAGTGATATTATTATCATCGTAAACCAATTGATCGAAATATCAACAAGTTTAAATTTTTGTTAGTCTTGTGTTAAATATACAGATTCCATTTATCTCATCATGAACTTAAATGTTTTCCAAATTATCGTGATCGCTGTTGCCTTAATCGCCGTTGCTTCATCATTTGGCCTTTATACAACTCCTGGTACTTCCTCGAGACAAGTTCGTCTTGCTCATCCTGGTCGTAAATCTCCAACTGGCGATGATGACTCGCCTGATGGTAAAAGTCCTAAGGGACGTAGGCCTGGTGGTAAATTTCCTACTGGCGATGATGACTCGCCTGATGGTAAAATATGTAAACCAAAGACTAACGATCAAAGTGACGACCAACCATTACTCTAGCATCATTATTCTATGTACCTCGATAAGAAAAGTAATACCATAGTAAATTGGTAAGATTACTTATATCAATCTCCTCATAGTGTCGATAATCTAACGAATAATTAAAATTATTTATGCCATTCGGTAGATATTAAAATTTTCTTATTATTTCATATATATATTTTGCTTGACCTCAGGTCAATCAGGTCGATTTCCAGGCCAATTTATAATAAAAGGTCCGACTTTTGTCGAAAATGGGCAACAATTAAGTTAATTAATTGAACAATTAAAAAAATTTTGACTGTCGCGCTAATTGTTGATAATCATTGTTGATAGTCTACTTAATCATTTAGTCAAAAAAAATTAAATTAAAATCTTTTAGAATCATTGAGATAATTAAAATCAAAGATTCGATAATCAAAAAACGGACATTAATTACTACTCAGCCTAATAAAAAACTTTAATTCTTATATCTGATTGAATATCTTGTTAGATACCAATTGAATTACAAAAGGAAATTGGTTACGACAGCTTCTCGAAAATGGTTTGAACAATTGAAACGATTTTTGTCTTATTAGTAACAGTCTGGCCTATGATAATAATACATTGATTGATTTAATTGATAAAACCGTTTTCGAGAAAAATTAAATCAAAATCAAGCCAGAGTCCAACCTTTTTTCCGATTAGGTTATTCAATTTATTGACACCTTCAATGGATTTTTACCTCCATCTATTAGATAGATTATCAGTCTAAAACTGTATCACTAGTTTCGATTACAGCTACACACCTAACCAGATTAATCAGATTTCGATGGTTAATTTAAATGACAATCAATTACCAATGAAAGTAAACAATCAGCCTAAGACAATTAAACTTTCTAAGCAATATTACTTAGATAATATCAACTCATATAAGTCGATATTATCTCACATTTGAAAATATATTTTCATCACTGATTCTGTGTTGATATGGACTTTTACCCGATTCAATAAAAGGTAAGCAAAGTTGTATCGAATTAATTTTAATGGTGACAGTTAATTTTAAATTTCATTTCTCGACTCAATTTCCTTGGTTAAGTAGCCATGACTACAGAAAACAACAAAATGTTGGCAAAAAATCAGCTGCAAGTCTTTTGTTGTTGTTGTCAACCTTTAAGCCTAAACCAGAGTTTGGTTAGCAGATTGTCATCCTTCATGTTAACCAAATCCAAAGTATTATAAATTAGTTCATAATTTAATCGTGATTTAAATCTAATTGTCAATTTATCTCCATTAAATTGATCATGTCATCTTTTCAACATGAACCAGGAACAGCAATCGAATGTCTTTCGGTGAGTTTTTTTCTTCCTCATCTCATTCAAACCTTTTCCTTTGGTTGTTGTCTCTTTTTTGTCATTTAAAAGATCCTTTTAAAATTTAATAATCTCAATTGATTTAAAGTTGTAAACGTTAACTTTTTTACTTTAATTCTCATATTTGATTGATTATTTTAGATTCCAATTAAATTACAAAAGGAAATTGGTTACGATGAATATGGCAGAGAAATAATGAAATGTGGCTTCTCAATTGGAGGAGGAATTGATCAAGATTATCATCAATCGCCTCAGGGGTTCACTGACAATGGAATCTATGTGACAAGTGTAAACACTGAAGGTCCAGCATGGAGATCGGGATTAAGAATTGGGGACAAAATATTACAGTGTAATGGCTACGATTTCACAATGGTGACTCATAAAAAGGCCATTGAATATATAAAGAAATTCCCAACATTGAATATGCTTGTTGCTCGACGTGGAGTAACTCAGGCTTGTTACAATTAGATTTAAATTGTAATCTAATTTCCATTAATATACAATATCAACAATTGTGATCCGAGAAACTGAAATATCCAACAATCAACAATTCTGTGCTTCCAATATCAACAATATTATGATCTCATGATAAATATAATCAGCGAAAATCTCATAATCAATTAACTGGATCTTGTCTCCAATTCTCATCATTCTGAACAATCAAACGAATCTTTTTTTTCAAACAATCAGTTAATCCTTAAAATAATCTATTCTCTCCAATTATACCGACACACTTTTACATTGACAGCAATTAATATATTCTTACAATCAACTAAAATGATTTAACAAAGAAGATGATATTCTCCTCTTATCCTTAATCCAGTCCTTTCATCTTGTCATTTAACTGTTTTTTTTTAATTAATTCCATTTCTATACCAATGGTGGTAAATTTTTTGTGTCGCAATTAACTCAAAAGACTGCGACAATTATAAAAAAACGAAAATTGGTTTTAATTATATTTTATTAAACTTTCTGTTGAAATTATTTTCATTCTTAATCTTTCCTTTGGGCTGTATTAATTTCCTCTGGTTTCATTGTTAATTGTTCAAATTACCAGTTTAAAAAGTAATCAGAAAATGAAAAGAAAGACAAATGAAAAAACTTCAAAGTAATATATTTGATTTGATTAGTTTAATGATACATTTGATTAGTTAATTTCCAAAAGACCATTAACAGTGATAGATTTTTATCAAAAAAATTGTCAATGATAATAAATAAAAAGAAATATTTCTAGAAAAAATTATCAATGATAATTAAACTGACCCAAATATGAAGAATCTCAATTGAGAAATTCACTGATCAAGTGAATGGAAACTTAGAAATTAAAGTTACGTTAACGGTAAGAGAATCGGAAGTTTCTTAAAATTGTTTATCAATATTAATTTTCTGTAATTTAAGCTCGCAATATTTTCAAATGAGAAAATATAAATGAATATATCAATACATTAATATTCATTCTCGGAATATTGTAATGTTAGATATTAATTCATCAAATCTGGAGATTTGTGATCTACTTATTATGAGGACTAGCATACTGATTACTTCAATCAAATCCTCAACCAGGATTTAATATTAAATTAGTCGCTGAGAACGAAGAAGAAATTAAACTTATAATCTTGGAAAAAAGTTATTATAGGGATTAAACAAAGTTCTGATGTCGGAAACCTCGAACCAGAGTGAAAGATAAAATAAACCCCATGAAAATGACGAAGAAGAGAAATATCGGAAAGTTTTAGGTGGTTGGAGTAAGTTGTTTTTTCCAACACTTAGAATTTTAACTGATTAAAATAGAGATTAATAAATTGGGAAAAACCAGTACATTATTTGGTCAATGCGTTAACTACGCCTTCAGCAACTGTATTTGTAGGTGCGCTAGCACATTCTGGATCTACATATGACATGTCTGTGTAACTTGATATGTGAAACAACACAGCGACTAATTCCGATAAGGTTTGAACCAAGACTTCACATTGACTTAAACCAGGGTTAGATGAAGAAATGGAAGCAGCACTTTTACTGATAAAGTTGGAAAGACTTCCTACATTAACTCCACCATTTGATGTAAAGCTTTGTGAAGCTGAAGAGACCCTTGAAGTAGCATCGGGTGACGAAAGTCTTGAAACAATGTTCGAGACAGTAGTTGAAGCACTAGTACCATAACCAACCTCAGAACCTTGGCCATAACCATAACCAGAACCAGAACCAACACCAGCACCAGCGCCAGGACCATATCCAGCACCAGAACTAGTTAAATTATCAGAAGAAGAACCAGCTTCATAACCAGAAACAGGCTTCTGTTACGATAAAGATGACATAAGCCCCAGGAAAATGGTGATTAACCAAAAAAAAAATTAACGACCAAAAAAGGATTGAAACTCATTTTTTTCTCGTTACCAACACTTCAAATTTTAATTGATGAAAAAGTTCACTGGTTCGAATGAAAATTAAATATAAATATAATTTTCTATCTGAATAATTTCACCTTTATATATTTTTCTCACATGTAAACGTGTTGCTTTAGCCTCAATAAAGTTACCTGAACAAATTCAAACATAAATTGAATTAGAATTAGATTACCTTAATTATAATAATAGTATGGATTTAGCTTTAGCATAAGCCGAGTCGATAGTTGATCGTATTACTTTTTCAATCTTACTCGTGATTACTGACTCTCTTATGATATAATTCTTACTCAATTCCAAAGCTTTGAGATAATTAGTTGCAGCGTCACGGAAACTTCTATCATCGATACTTATCGTTGCTCGATCACAATAACCAGTACCAGAAACATGACCTCCGATATTATCATATGTCCACTATTGGAGAACTCGAATAATTCAAGTTGAATTAAATTTTTCGAACGTTGAGACGCTTTTTGTCCGTGGAAAAAAGTTAACTAATATTAATAATTGGATTATTTTGATTCTGGAAAGTTAATTGTATTGTTTTTTACTGCTTTTCTCTCTTAGTCTCACCTGGGCAGGGAGGAGGAGCTGACCCTGCATTAACATTTCCGATGTTTGCGCTACTTAATATCTGAACCAATCTTCAATCTTTATCTTCACTTGAACTTAATTTACGAGGAACTTTTTTCGTAATAATAAAGGTCCTCCTTTCTTCTGAATTAATTGTTAATCTATCAAAGTATAAAATTGAAAAGTAATTAGAAATGAAGAGAGAGAGAGAGAGAGAGAGAGAGAGAGAGAGAATTCAAAGTATTTCATTTGATTTGGTTAATTTAATGATACATTTGATTAGTTAATTTCCAGTTTACTGTTAATTGTGATTGTAAAAAAAGAGGATAAATCAATTAGCTGTGAGGAACATTGGATTATATGTAAGAATTGAATTTTTTGTTGATGAAAGGCTTCAAATTGTTCCAATAAAAAGATTAACCATAAATTATGATCATCGTAATTTACTTGGCAGTTTAAGAATAGAATTAGAATACGGAGAACAACAATTAGAATTGTCTCTTAATTGGATTTAAAAACGATGCTAATAGAGAACAAATAATCGCCAAGAAAAGTGAAGAGACCAATGTGACAGCCGATGAACAGGCTATTCCACTGTGAGAGAATTTGAATTTAATTTGTCGAGCGTTGAGACACTTTTTGTCTGTGGAAAGAAATTAACAAGATAATTAGTTGGATTATTTTGATTTTCGAAAGTTAATTGTATTGTTTTTCTCTCTTAGTCTCACCTGAGCAAATAGTGTTTGATGACATTCCCTGATCAGGAGGTGTGATGGTGAAGTAAAAAGGTTCACAGGTCAGAACATCTCGATCTTTACATGGATCACTGACATCGATTCGAATCTCTTCGTTCTTTTTGGCCTCCCAACATCGACCTGTTTCTTCTGGCTTAGGATATCGACCGAAGCAAACCTTAAGATCACCTTCACTGCTGAAAAATTTCATCACAATGTCGTAGCTTTTAAGGAAATACTCAGGGTACATGGCCCAATACTGTAATCGCCCTGGTGTTATAAAAGCCTCGAAACCACTGGTCGCTTCTGAACTGACACGTCGACAATCAGGGTATTGGAAAGTTGCTGGAACTTGACAAATTTTTTGTGACAATTCTTGAGTCATAACATCAAGTCCATCTTGGTCACGAATTATGTCCTGTGGAGAACTGATGTATTCAGTTAAATCGTTTTCGTTTGCATTTGTGATCAGGAAAACGGGTACATCTCTATGGTTACTCTTCAAGGTGTATCGTGCCATACGAATGTTTTGGTCAATATTTCGAGAGGTATATGAACCACCCATTATGATGAAAGGTTTGGCTGGAGCTCCCAATTGGAACCATTTATTGGCCTCGAAATCACGCAAAGTATCATTCATTCTGAGGTAAAGGTCAGTGGACGGAGCATTGATAACAGAACCCAAGGTATCTAGAATACATAAAAAAACATCAGTCGATTTTACGAGTCAATAATTGTGTTAATTGTTGATTAGTTTAATTAATTTACCTTCTCGAATATAAGACATGGCACATCCAGTGCAACCTCTATTGTAACTTGCCCAAGCCAAGTGCTTCAAATTATTACGGAAAGTTTGACCTTCCGCTCCAAGATTATCTTCTCGATTCATTGAGAGTATCGATGCTGAAGAACCGTAAATACCAAGATTAAGTTTATTGATTAGTCGACCAGTTAAATTCTTATATTTATCAGCATCGGCAGATTGAAGATCAATGACTACAAATAGATCAGTTGGAGTTTCACAATCAGCTTTGTATCCACTCATTCCACCCGATGAACACCATTCGCTATCTTCAGCTGGTATGGATTTAGCTTTAGCATAAGCCGAGTCAATGGCTGGTCGTACTTTCTCAATCTTACTCGTGATTATGGACTCTCCTATGATATAGTTCTTACTCAATTCCAAAGCTTTGAGATAATTAGTTGCAGCGTCACGGAAACCTCTATCATCGATACTTATCGTTGCTCGATCACAATATCCAGTACCAGAAACACGACCTCCGATATTATCATAATAGTAACGAAGAATTTGACTTAATCTCAATCTTGATCCAGTTGCAGTTTTGGTTAAACTTTTGGTAAGTTCGCCAATATAATATCCATCAATACCTCCTCTGATGTTGGCTAAAGTGGCATCAGAAGGTTTCTCCATACTCAAAGTGTATTCAGTTGTACATAAAGTATTTGTACTTTCCCATGAACCAGAAACAGCGATTGTGTTTGCTTCACCGCCTTCAAAAGCAGCCATTGAATGAATATTAGCCAAAGTAACAGCCATGAGAGGATTAAGTATTTCATCAACGTTAGCTTTGAGTTCTCCCTGAGGAATATTCGGATTTATCTTTGTAATTATATCACGAACGGAAACTCCAGGACTATTCAATTGACCAGCAATTACTCCTAATAATAGTCGGTTCAATGCGATCGCTTGGTCATTATTAGATCGATAACTTCCAACCCCGTACTCCCGTGGTTTGACTGTCAAAGCTACAGGGGCATAAGAAGGGCCACCATATCTGTCCATTAATTAATAGAAAGAAGATTAAAAACAATGATGAACTTGGATTTGATCAAATAACAAACCTTGGAGTTCCTGTAGCAGATCTCGAATTGGATGAAACGGGAGCTCGATAAGCACCAGTAGAGTAACGATTAGTTCGTGCATCCGCTTTTTCCGTTTGATTGATGTGATATGATAACATAAAATAGAGGGAACATCTCTCATTTTCGGTCAGAATTGTCTGGTCATCCAAAGAAACTTCCGCTGGCGATTCCAATAAAATATCTTCGATTTTATCGACAAACTCGTAGGTCTCCCCTTGGTCCAAATAACTATAAGCTCTGACCACATTACCATCCGATCGGAATCTAGAAAATAATTAAATTGATCAGTCTAAATTTAAACACAATCAATTGTTTCCCGTATATTCCCAATATATCATTTTGACTTAATTGTTGATTAATTATCAGTAATAATATTAAGATATAATTAGGAAAATATGATAAGATTAAAATAGATTGAAAACTAATATGGATCAATAAAAATCGTCTAAATAATGTTGGTTAATTGTTGGTTACAAGTACCTCTTCATCTTAATCATCACACAGATATTTATGTTATCCTATGGTTGAAATATTAATATTAATAATTAATCCTGTAGATGACTAATTGTTGACAGAATTAAAGACAAAATCATGATGATAATAAATCATTAGACAAAAAGATAAATCCGATTGACCATTCAGACAATTGGATATAACTTAAGATTTAAAATATTGACCTTCAAAGGAAATCTTAATTCATTAACACTCAGCTTGGAGGCTTAACGGTGTATCTTAATTGTTAATCAAGATTAAGAAACATTGATCAAATTAACCAATCAACTTTTCGTCTAATGTAAATCCATAGTTGATATGATATCTGTTTTCATTGCCTTTGGAGATTTAATTTGAACTTTTTTACATTGTAATTGATTGGAAATTATTAAATTGTCTATGTGATAGTTGATTGTTTGAGTCGCAGAGTAATTAAGTGAATATGATTTCCATCTCGTTTTCTCCCTCTAATCAGATTACAATGGTTAAAGTAATAGACGAACATCTAGTGTTTATTGCAGAAATTAAGGAGAAATTGTTTTTCTCATTGATGATTTTGCTTAATAACGACTACAAATTTGATCTTCGATAACGGAGTTATGGTTACAATAAACACTCAAGTAAATTCAGAGGAAATAGAGGAAAGATAATCATCTTTTGTTTACTTAATTATTTCTATTATAACGGTTTCCAATGAAGATTGATTGTTGCCTATGTAACCTGGATTTAGAAAAATGGAGACTAATTGTTGATTACTTTCTCTGCAATCAACAACAATTACTTTGATTTATTGAACATAATTACGATTCAGAAAAAAATAAACAGCTAATCAATATGATAGTAAATATCTCCGACAACATCGATCGGCGGTCAAAAAATAATAAGATTTTGACCTTCCCAATTTTAGGAAAGTTAGAAATTTACAAATATGATTAGTTAATTACTCACTTTCTTAACAAAGTTGCTGCTAAATCCTTTGCTTGGATCGATCGGGTTGTCGTTGAATTTTCAATCTTTTCAATGAGAGCGATCAAATTTTCAACACTCGAAGCCAACGGTGGACTATTTTGTCCATTAATTATCGGCGATATCTGACCTGGTGTCCGTTGGCGATTATAGCAAAGATTGAAAATTTGACTTTTCCTTTCGATACTCATACTAATTGAGTAAACACTTGGAATGATTAACAAAACACTGGCCACCAAAAAGGGAAACCATTTTACCTGATAATCCATCTTACTGGTCAGATTATCAGCACTAAATGAATTGAATTAAAGTTGATTTAATTTACTATTAAGAAAACAATTTAATCCACAAAAGAGAATCCGAAATAAAAACAACAATCAACTAATTGTAAAACAAAAATACTCAATTCTATTGACCACAAATTATCAAAATCGACAGTTATAACTGACACACTGTTGAAAGAAATTAACCTTACGATGAATTTGATAGTCGATAGATGGAAATTAATTAAATAATGATGATGATACCATGGAAGTGTCAATATCGGATATCGGGTGTGGTTGGTGAGTTTCTCTCTCCCTTTTCTTCAGATTTGATTGTTAATTTTTACCTTAATTTGATCACTTTTACAATAGTCTGAGAGTTACAATGTTCTCGACGATGTGAAAATCACCTAAGTGAACCTCTGGTTTCTCTTTATGTTGTTTACTCGTCGAGATTATTAATGTCATGATAAGATAACACACCAAGTAGAATCTGAATCATGTATCCTAATAACAATCATGATAATCTAATTTCCCCTCTCATCTCATTTCTTTAATTTCTCTCTTTCTTTTTGTTCTCACATTTCAATTCATTGATCAGATAAGAACAATTAACAAACTTAATCGCGGTAATAATAAAATAATTGCTTCTATTTGTTAGCCAATTGATAAATACGAATATCATTTTATTATCTGTCGCTTTCGGCTCGAGTTCATTTGTTGCTGCGAATTGTTTTCTCGTTTAAATTGATTGTTCATTCAAGATTCTCAATTCTGATCATCATGGATTCAGATTATCGATTGATTTTCATGAACACCTAGTAAACACTTACGATATTCATTGGTGTTGTATTGGAAATAGGAAATGTTTATAATAATCTGAGTTCTCGTGATAAGTTTGAAATTATTTATTGAAATGAATAATTTGTTGATTGATTGGAAAATTAGATCAATCAGTTTACTGAACAATTTTATTGTATTAATTAAGAAATGGATGTAACATAATTGTAACAAATTCAACGCAGATCGATATAATTTATATGTTATAATCGTAATTAAGTCAACAGGTTTTGCGAAACAATTGAACAAATTAATTAACAGGATTAACTGTAAGAGAACTGATTAAATTTGATTGTGCAAAGTGATTTTTAGATTATGATTAGCGATTGATTTTCGTGTTGTTTATGGTTAATTATTCTGGTAAAATGTCAACGATTTCATCGTTTGTAAAATCATCATCTTCATTTCGTTTCCTCCACGAAGTTGTTGGTCTTTGTAAAGGTCCAGTTTCGTCATCAAGAATATTTTCATCATCGACTTCTTTATTTTCGATCAGATCAAATATTGATTTCTTTTTGTTTCCATTTTTAGAGTTAATCGAAACTGAGGTGACGTATCCTGAGCTGTTGCTAGAAGCTGAATCTCCTCTTGAACTTTCAGCTGAGGTTCGATTATTGTTAGAGGAAGCTCGTGAACCACTTCGCTGAGATCGACCGCTTTGTGACTTTCTTTCTCTCGATTCTCTCACCTTTTCCAATTTCTTCAGCTTATCGTAGAATTCATTATACTCAGGTAAGGCCAAATCTTGACAAATTCGCACCAAGAACTTGACACATTCAAGATTATCTGGAAACTTACGATGGATCATTTTGTAACATTGTAGAGCTTGTTGGTAATTTCCACTCCGACGATAACAAGCAGCGATCATTAAATACCATTTAACTTGATTTGGCCTTCGAATAGAAAAGAAAACAAGTTACTCATCAAATTAAATTGTCAACAACCAGAATCGAATCAATTGACTCACTGAACTGCCGCAGCCTTTTCCAAATAACGAGTCGCCTTTTCATAGACTTGAGTTTCTATGTAATAAGCAGCAAGTCTTTCAATTGTTGGAATATGTGATGGATAATAACGATAACTCTGAGAAAGAAAACAAATTAATTATAAACAATCAATGAAATTTCTTCCAAATATTAATAAATGGTTAGTTAATTATTCTCACATCATTTATGTACGAGAAAGATGATTGTTTGTCCGATTCGTTAGCGGCAATATCGCTCATACGATTAAGTATATTAGGATCCGAGGGAACAAAAGTGATTAACAATTGAAACCAATCCATTGACGAATCCATATCATTCATTAATTCATAACTATCATTAACAATTAAAGAGATAATAAATATTAAATCATTCGGATGTAATGGATAATTGAACAACTTACATATTAGCAATTTGATAGAGGACGTTTGGATGATTAGGGAGAATACTGTTAATCTTGAGAAGACAATTTAAGGCTAAATCGAATCGATTTAACTTTTTATTGGCCAAAGCGAGATTGTAAAGAGCCTCGATGCAGGACGAATCATTGGTCAGCGCCTCTTTGTAAAACGAACTGGCCCTTTCATGGTCATTCAATTTAACACAACAATTACCCTTATTGACCAATCCAGCGGAATTAAATCGATCCGTGTCAATCGCTATATTAGCATAACGATCGGCCGTTTCAAGATCGTTTTGTAATAGATATAAAAATGATAAATTGGTCGCAGCGGTTGAGGCCGCTTTTCCCTCCTTTTTTTCAAACGTCTTAAGGGTTCCAATGGCCTCGGCAAATTCCCGTCTCTTCAAGTGTTTAACAGCCTTGTTTATCTCGATATCATCGCTGATCTCAATGTAACCAGCGGATCGAATGGTATCAACACACCATTCGTATCCTTGGGTAAAAGTGTCACCAATCACTGGGGCAATTAATTGTGATGCCAGGAGAATACACCAATCTCGTTCTTGTTTACGTTCCCTTTCCCATTTACGAAGTGAATCAACTTTAATTGCTTCCAAAATTAACGTTGAAAGGTTATCATCATCTTCGGTAATCATCTCATATCGATCTGATGAACAGTTGACATCAGATATTTCCAACAATTTAATAAACGATTTTTTCATATTCTCTTTATCCCCAATTGCATAATGACAAACAATTAGATTCAGAGCATCACGAAAATCACCTTTCTCCGACATGATGTATTCGAATGATGTAATTGAATCGGAATATTGATTCAGTTTGACGAAAGATAAACCAATATTTCTCATTATTCTCATTCTGTTAAAATAGAAAATTAAAATATCAATATTATCATATTATTCTTATTCTAATTACAATCAACTTGTTCTTAGTTCTCTTGGTTACCTTGTATTGCGTTGGGAGGTCGGTATTTGATCTAAAGCCATTCGAAAAAATTTAATTGCTTTAGGATAATTTCCTTGTCGATAGTAAATTGCTCCGATGTTTAGTTTAAGTCTTCCTGCAATTAGAAAATGTCAATTGTTGATTAGTTTGAATGATTGATAAACATTGTAATCAATACGATTTTATATCATCTCTCTGTTGTCCTTGATATTTGTTATTTGAGATTCGTTAACAAGGACATTTCAAAATCGATAAAATTATTCGATAATGATTAGAATATAATTGATAATAAGAATGACAATTAAGATTGTAAATTTTTTTTAGAAATTCGATTTACCTGAATTAACAAATGAACGATTCTTGATGAGTGTTTGAAACGTACTTATAGCGTCTGAATACATTTCATTTCGAGTATATTGAATTGCGAGATTGAAAAGAACAGCGAATGTTAATTCAATGGAAACTGAAATTGCCGCTGAGGCCAATTGCTCTTTCTGTCGGGAAAGTGACCTTTCTTTGGTCATCGCTTGTTTCGCTTTATCTAAAGATAATTTAAATTCATTTCGATAAGAGGCTTCGATCGATTCTTCCAGCAGATCATTAACTTTCTTTTCCAATAGTTTAATCTTTGCCTGAGGGGTATTTTCGTCTTTGGCGACAAAGGGAGAGGACGAACTTGATTTGTTTTGAGATAAAGGGTCGAATATCCCGGAACCGGATGGACTTTTATGGGTCGATGAAGTGTAACCAGCACCACGAACTGCGGTCATTGGTCGGGCCGTCGAAGGGGCTTGTTGTTGATTAAGACTTGAGGTTGATGATTTACGTCTCGAAGTGGACACAAGTCCTCGATTATAACCCGCTGTTCCCATTCTCGAGGTGCCGCTCGTCCGATAACCAGTGTTACCTCGTCTTCCATAGCTACTTTTAAGTACAGTCTGTTGGAAATCTTCATCGTATTGTAATGCCTTCAATTGAGAGAAAAACAAAGAAAATCAACAATTCGAATGGATTAAATATAAATTAGCTTAATGAGATCAATTAAATTGTCTAAATCAAAGGAAACTCACCTTAGAATCAAGAACCGGATTAAAATCGTTGAAACCAGAATAAAGATCCTCTAAACTTGGAACTAGAACAATTTTTTCCGACATTATTTTCCACTGGAAATCAATAGATTAATTAATTGTCTCATATGTTACATAAGATTAAACGTATTTTCATTCATTTGTTTACAATTAATTTCCACGTTACCAAAGCAACCAAATCATTGGAAATAAAAATAAACAAAGAAAAAAATTCAATTTCTTTTCTCAAATTAATATTTCCATAGTTAATTAAAGCTTCACAATTTTCATCAATTAAGCACGCGATTAAAGATGAAAAAAGATGAAGGTAAGATTAAAATCAATCCAATTCAATGTTTTCCAAATTATTTTGGTTAATCAATTGTTTATTTGGTCAGTTTGATGATCCATAACAAAGGAAATGTTTTGTTTTCTCAATCAACTTGTCATCTTTAATTGTGATGATCAATGGAACAATCTAAGGTGAGTTAATTTCTATTGTTTAATTTTCCACCACAGTTTAATTGTGATTAAACTCATAACAAATATTTGTCTCTCTCCATTCAGATTACCTGTTACTTTTTCATTCTGGTAAAAGAAACTGGTTATTGGGTCCAAGGTGTAAACAGTGAATGGTTATAGATTTTGTAAACATCACCTTCTTGGTTAATTGTAAACAATTAGCTAATTTTCGTTCATGTTTATTGAAGATGATTACGGTTTATACAAGTTAATGTTTCGACTTTCAAATGGTTCTGTTTTCTGTTTTAAATGTGATCCTGGAAATTGGAGATTGAGAGATTAACCAATTTTTGAATGAAATCAACAAAGAACTTGAAACCTTTGGTTTACTATAAAGATAATAAATGTTTTCTTTTCAGTTTTACTCATCTAGCGGTTATTACAACCGCTCTTCCGTTGGGCAGTTTCATCTTCTGTGTTCTTTGGTCACTTTATTTCAATTTCAAAGAATCAACTTCAACCCATTGTCGAGTGTCTAATTACCTTCCATCAATTAGCGCTTCCGTTGGATCGTATTCACCTCAGAAATATGTTTGGCGAATCTGTATTGCCATTCATTCAGGGCCGAGATATTTGGTCACTTACATGTATTACCTTCTTGTCCATGGGTCATTTCAAACTCTGTTACTCAACCTAATTGAGATTACAAGTCTAATTGGATTAACATACATTGGATCAACTGAGAATCATGGTGAGAGTTTCATTGGAACAATTTACCTCTTTTCTTTCAGTTATTTATTTACAATGTATTCTTAATCTAATATTTGTTTGTTTCTTTTTCTCTGTAAATTGTTCAGTTTATCATGCCTTTTGTTTTACTATTTTCATCATTTCTGGTTCACTTGGAATGACCCTGGTCACTAATTCAACCTACAAATCAAGGAGGATTAAATCATTTCTTAAATATACCAATTTGATCTCAATTGGATTAGCCATCGTTTTATATTATCGGCACAATTGGTTCTGTGAGCCCGGTGTTTACACTTTGTTTGCTCTCGCTGAATATGTGGTCGTATTAACAAACATCGCCTTCCATTTTCAAGCTTATTATGATTTCCAACATCATGATCTACTTTTAGTTAATAGATTGACTTCCAATGGAGACCTAACAATCAACTAATTATGAATTTCGATCTGGTCCGAATTTGTCTCTTGGTTAAACCAACAATCTCATCTCAATCTTCAAACATTTACCAAGCTTACATCTTTCAAGATCTATTATATTATTTATCTCGTGTTTAATTCAACAATTTATAATATTTAGTCAACTAATCAACTAATTTATATAATTTAGAAAGGCAAAAATCAGTATTTATTTAGATTCGAAAGCCACTTTTACATTTATAACAAAAATTGTATTCGTTTTGTACAAACGGTAACCAAAGAGCAAATTAAAGACAATCAATTAATTGTTCAATCGTTGAATCAGAAAAACAGAAATGATTTAGATTAACAGTTGACTAGGTAATTTGCGAAAAACTAATTGTTCAATTTTGTTTTTCTTTCCTCGTTTACTGATAATCTGACAATTTATTTCTTGAGACATTTTCATGTTATTGATAAATCACAATCAAAAAGTACTCAAGTTAATTAACTTCCAGCTGAGATGGTAAATTTTTCTCAAATCAAACAATTTACCAAGAGAAGTTTTCTGTTTTGATTGATGATAAATATAAGCAACAATTTAGGTTGACTAACCATTGCAACAAAGTGATTAACTAATCATTAAATCAATGACTAAGTTTTACTCATAAAAAAATATTAACTGATCATCTCAAGTAACAAATCAGTTGATTGTTATGAAATTGTCTCTTTGTCAAAATAATTTATTGACAATTAAGACAATTAAAAGACACTAGTAAAAGTAAACAAAAAGAGGACAATTAATAAGCTTAAATCTAAATTGTTGAGTATTAGTTTTTTTCTCACACGAAAAAAGCGAATCCCGATTCTGATTAGATCAGCTAATTACACCGATTGAGGTGAGATTCGCTGCCCTAAGGGTATTTTGATTTTTTGTATTTGAAAACTGTCAACTTATCAATACAAAAAATCAGTCTCCCAATTTTTTCCCTAATTATACAGATTCAGTCTCAATGGACTAATTAATAAAATTGATTAGTAACGTTTATCATGTTTGTTTGATTGTTGATACTTTTGAGCCTTATTTGGCTTTTGATGTTTGAATTTTTCACAGTTAATTTAGTACAATTGAGAACAAAAAAAAGTTTATCGCGAACAATTAACACACAAAATTTTGTGACTCCTCAAAAGCCCAAGTAATTGGGCCCCTCATGAATTGAGTGTTTAAATTTTGTGCATGACAGAAACAAACTGATTCACTAGTTAGTTAGTTTGTTGCTTTCTCAACAACTGTTGAATTGTAATTAACTTGGATGCATCTAAATCAGATTGAGCTCATGTTAATTAGATAAATAATTGTTGATAGATTGTAATGTTTTGTTGCTGTGAATGGAGTAAGATTTAAATAAAGTTAATTATTTTTCTTATACCGGGTAGTAAAAACAATCTTCTATGTTTTTCACTTTTTTTACAGTTTACAATCAATCGTAATCCAATAAATCACGATAACCTGCGGTATGATTAGTCGAGTTGCTATTACTACTTGATGATGATCTTTGATTAACGGGTTGTTGTTGTTGTGATGTTTGTTGGTTACTGTTTGATAATGAGCTTCGACTCTCGCAATTCCGCTGACTTGGTTGATTCTCGTTCAAAAGTTTACGGCAAATAGGACATGTCCCATGCTAAGATAATAAAGAAAATAAAAAACAAACAGAAAATTAATCAAAAGGATAAATGGTTTGATACTAATATGAGAAACACAATGTAGCATTTTAAATCTTGAGATACTTAAAGCAATCAAGATTGAAACTAACAAACAATTAGATTTAAGTTAAATATTCAAAACAAGATACAATTAACCGAAAAAAGCTCAATGTTTTCAATGTTAATTAGCTGTTTTTTTTGACACACTTATTCATACATATACTCATTTATATGTATGTGATTGGCTTAAGTTGCTACCAATTTATCAGCTGAAACAATTAATTGAATTAATCTTTCTGCAAATTTACTTGTAAGTATTTTCATCTAAAACGTAGTACATAATGTGTATATTGTCATGATAAGAACGAGTAGAAATCATATTCTTTTGCTATTGTTTACAAAATAAACTTGTTATTAATAAGTTAAATTGCAAATCAAGTACATGAATTTACGGTTATATAAATAGAAAATGAAATTACTCACCATTTCTAACCATGGAACAATACAATCATTGTGATAGACATGATTACATGGTAACATTCTAACCGGTTCATCTAATTTGTAATCGTCCATGCAGACTGTACACTGAAGATTTTTATCAACATCATCTTGACAAATCTTAATGGTCGGCAGTTTCTTGATTTCATCTTCAGGCATTGGTGGAGGGCCATTATTTTCTATTGTATTCAAGAGCTGGTGGAAAAGAACAAGAAAAATAAAAATGATAAGTAATGAATTGAAGATGATCAATAATAGATTATATGTGTATTAGATAATGAAAACAGTTACTAAACTAACCTGTGTAATGATAGTATCGAGACCTGATGTACCCCAAGCATAATCACCGGGATTTCCATGAAGAATTTGAAGATAAGGTATGGCCATTTCAAACATTCCACGTCCACGACTTCCTCTTGGACTGGGCTGGCCTTCAGTGAATAATTGAAGAACCCTAAAAATAGACAACAACAAATTAGATATACAGGTGATCCAAATTGTACGAGAAACACAATTAAAAGGTAGACAAGAATTGAATAGATTGAAATATTCTACTTACCGTAAGATTTCACCAGTTCGAACATCATCGTATCTATCATTATTATCATAGTGCTCTGAACTGTAGAAAGATAAATTAAGATGAAGAATAAGTAACAAGACACATGAGTTGATGATGGAAACACCAAAGAAAGATGAGAATCGCTAACTGATAGACTTACTCATCACTGCTCGTGTCTAAATTTGCATCATTGGTTAATTCTTCGATAAATCCTTCTCTGCATCCTGGGCATTTGAATTCCTGTTGTAATTATATGAAAAAAGAACAACAAAAACAGAAATCACAAGGTTAGTAACAGGCAGATAAACAAATAAAAAGACAGAGGTAAGAGAAACAGGCAGACACAGGGAGAGAAAGAGAAAGAGAGTAAAAGAAAGAGCTGGAAAGAGAAAAATAGAGAGAGAGAGAGAGAGCGAATTACATCAATAAAGGAATTGGAAGTATAAATTAATGAATTTTAATTACTTGGGAGATGACAAAACAAGGAAAGCAATAACTAAAATGAGAGAAAAGGAAAGAAAATGTAATGTAAAGAGTATGGAGAGAAAAGAAAAGGGCAGAAGAGGAAAGGAGATGAAAAAATAACAGAAATTTCTACTCACTGGTAAAGGATTGATCTCTTGGTTACACTTATGGCAAAAGTAACGAGTAGGCAGATTATCAACTAGACTCTCCGCCATTTGAAGGGAATAATATATATTAATAGGTGATAGGATTGACAATAGACGATCAGTTGGTTGCTTGTTTATCTGGTATATCACAAATATCGACAGTATTCAACAAAAAACTTGATTTGACCTAAGATTGAGAGAGAAAGAGAAGAGAGAAAAACAAATCAAGAGGAAGAAGATTTAGAAATGAATTTAAGTTAAGCGTTAAACGGTAGGTGGTGCTAGATGAATGTTGGAGTTTTAATTTGAAAATTAAACTGAAAGTAATTAACAATTTGAATCAAATTATTTCATTGTTAATTTTTCTCAATATTTAGTGGATCAGCTTTTGGTTAGAACTGTGAAGGAGAAGAAGAATAGAAAAAATATTGACCTCAAAGAGTACGAACAGATTTTCTTTGTTATTGTTGTTGATTTTTTGTGTCTAATTTAAATTATGATTAGGTTATGATTGGAATTGAGTTTTGTGGAAAGAATTGGAATTAGTTGTTGCAAATGATTGACCAATAAGGTAATCACTTTTTGCTCATCATCTCTTTTCATGCCTGTAAAGATGATGGTGAGATTTTTGTTGTTTATGCTGGTGTTTTGTTGTTGTTACTAAAAGAAGTGAAGATTAAGAAGTTAAGAGCTTGTAAAGTGAGAGAAAAAAAAATGATTATGATGATAATAAAGGGAGAAGAAGATAGAAGTAAAAAAGAATATACATCAAAAAGAACTCAGAAAAAGTCACTTCCTGGTTTGGGTTGTATGGAAAACCAGATTCTCTAACTAAAAGCTAAACTTTCAGTCTAATAAGAGTCTGGTTTAAACAGATGATTTTCTCTTACAAATGTATTATGATAATACATTTCTAGGATTATAAGTCTTTCTGGTTAAAAAATTTAACGTCTTTATAGTCGCTTTGGTCAGTTTTATAACCAAAAAACCTTCGAAAGTGGAAGAAGATATTAAATCTGAAGAGAGAACATATGAGAAAAGTGATCAATAGAAACAAAGTAAAGGTAAACAGAAGGTGCGAGAGATCAAATTATCAACAATAACAAATGATTCTAGAGAAACCTTATATAATATTTATACTTAGTGATTAAGCTGATTGTGTGAGTTTCTTACCAATGGTTTAAATGATTATCAGCTCTCTTAATAGTAAATCAAAAAAGAATTGAGTGTAACTGGTAAATTAGATGAGTTAATGTTATCCAATGAATATTAGATTCAACAAAGAGCAATAATATAAACGGTTAACAGTAAACACAATTAAACAGAAAAAGATTAACCCACTTTAACCTTTAGAATATAGATCAATGAAAAGATTGGTAATAAGAGATCACTTTTTAATGATGATTAAAATTGTTCACATTTTTAATTGTGAAAAAGAAACGCGATTACTTTAATTGTTGATAATTCATTTAACCGAAAAAGCGAAAAGAAAAAAATGTTCTTTCTCTCATAATCCGTTAGATGGCAGCAGAAAAGAATTTGCTCGATAAATAGACTATTCTATTCAATTGTTATTCTTACGAATTGTTTATTTTTTTCAAGCGGGAAATTAGTTAACAACATAAGGTCAAATTCTCGTAAATTTTGACCTTCATTCCGATTGTAAAATTTTTAAATATCTTTTCAAATCCGTTCCATAGTGAGAAGGGCCAACATTAAATCCACACTGTAGTCAATTATGATGAATGTCCCGACCTGAATGACCTTTTAACCAGAGACTTGTAACTTTGGAATCCCAAAGAGCTGATTTGTCATTTTTACGATTTTTAATTGTTCAGGTGATTGAGGTTTTCTTTTTCTTTGAAATTGATTTTTTTATAAGAATCTTCTTGAAATTTAAAAGCAAAAAGTTCATTGGATAGTTAATCAAAATGGATTCGTTGTATTCGTGATGAAGATAAACAATCTCTGTAAAGAGGAAATGTGACTTTTATTGTTGACATTTTGTTGAATGGATTGAGTTTATTTTGGTAATTTGTTGTTACCAAAGTGAGTTAAATGGTCAAATTGTTCAATTTATTGGAAATTTAGATGAAATTATGAGTTTCATGGTTACAAAATGGGAGAGGGAAAACCCCAAAATTATGTGTCAACACAAAGGAGATATTAAAAGAACTCTCTAGAGTAAATTGTGAGTATATTTAAGATCTTATTCTAATTAATAGATCAGATTGAAAATGATTATTGTGGTTGATTTGAATATGTTGTATACCCTTTGAACATAAATGCTGAATTCACGACAGGTATTGAAGTTTTGGCCATTTGCTTTTCCAATCTTCGTAAAGATCTTGAAGCGTGATGACGATGATGCCTTCGGTGTCTTCCATGATAATGTTGTTGGCCTGAAGGATCAGTTTCCATGTTAACATCAGGTTGATATGACGATTGTTCTGGAATCGGACCCTGAGCAGCATTTGCAGTGTAACTTGTCCCCATGTTGGGCGATGTATGATGTCTACGAGAATGTCTACCCGATCGATGTTTTCGACCATCCAATCGCGATTCAAGCGTTTGTTTCTCTCCCCTTAGAAGATCAATAATCGACTTTAAAGTGGTCACCTCACGGAGGACACTCTGTAGAAAACCAGGACTGTTGGAAGTTTGAGCAGAATTATCTGGTTGAGCTGTTGAATTCTCTTCGACATTTGATCTATTAGGTTGATCACCACCAATCGAGGATGGAGCCGATGTGAGAGGTGACTTACCACCAAAAGGCATTAATTGTTGCTGTGATTGGTGCGCAAAGTTCATCGACTGTTGACTGGAAGATCGAGATAAATCAGATCGGGTTCTCTCCAGTTGAGAATTAAGATTGTTAACCTCTCCCATTAGTTGATTGATCCTCATGTCACGAGAAGCGATTTGTGAACTCATTTCCTGCATGTTCATTTCTTTTGCCACATCAAATTGATGATAGGCCACTGGTTCGTTGTTCCGTTCTCGAAGCTCATTCTCCAAGTCTCTTACTTGAGAACGTAATTTCTCATTATCAGCTCTAAGTTGATCGATTGCAGTGTCGGCAGAAGATTTGAGAGAATCGTATTCATTGTAAGATGATTTTAATTCACCTTTCAATTCTTGAGCATAGTTGAGATTTTTCTTCATCGCTTCGTTCGTAGCTTCCAAAACGGAGAGAAGTCGAATGTTATCTTCACGTAAAGTGATCAATTGTTGCTCTAAATCAACTAAACCAGGATTAAGAGAAGGTCCAACTGATGTGGAAGTATCAATTTTCGAGAGAGAGGTTAACATGTTATCAATTTTATCGGTGATTTCTTTACCATCAATACTTGGAACATCAGCTGTTAGTTCAATCCAAGAAGCATCACAATCACAATTATCGTCCTCGCACTCGCAATCAGAGCCCGTGTCACTTGCAGAGTCACTGCCACTTTTATTTTCTTCTGGTATCAAAGGTTGAGGTCCAGAAAAAACGATTGAATTACCTGAATTAAGAGCTGAAGATGAAGACGAAGAACCGGAAGATGGACCACGAAGAGAAGATGGAGCCGAATTTGATCCCATTGGCTGATCAAAGGTCAGATTACCAAAGGTATTCGCAGTTGTCGCTGGTCCACTTGAAGATCCAATAGGTGATTGATTTAAAGAAAGTGAATTAACCATTATGATGATGATGATCAAGATACGATATATTAATATAAATGATCAAAATATCAATAAGATGGAAAAGTTATTAATGTTAACAGTTGGGAAAGTAAACGATAAATGATCAGTTAACAATCAAAACAATGTCACTTTTATCAGTTTCTCACAAAACTGAGATACCTGCGTAAAGTATGAGTCACAACAGCCTCAGGTAGACAAACAGGTTATCAACAAGTATACATGGTGAAAGAAATGATTAACATTAAATCACAACAATTTGACGTCTTTCAAATGATTAAGAGAGAGAGAGAGAGAGAGAGGAGGAGAGAGCTTAGGACAACACCAGTAGAAGATAAAAACAATCTTTAGATCCAATGACCTGGTTCGAAGGAGAGAGAGAAACGAAAACGCAATACGAACAAACGATTTCAACTGAAGAAAAAAGTGGCTAATCAAATATCCGAAAAGATTACGTGTCTTTTGAACAAAAAGTGAATTAACTTTCCTGGTTTCCAACAATCAACAATTAAATATACGCAGGGAAATGAAATAGGAGTGAAAACGAGTCTTGGTAATGACGATTAACTAACGTCCGAAATGCAGTAGCAACAATTAAATGTAACATCAGGTCAGTAGCCTTGGTAACTGATGATAAATCATTTTGACCAATTAAGTTAATCATCGACAGATAATCTGATAAATTGAGTGGAATCTTTTTTTCTCAATTGTTCCAATATAATTTAAAACAATTAAAATTCTCATATTGTCATTTACTGATCAATTTTTTAATCTATCAAGTGTTTATTTAGTTTATTTTAAAAACTTTCTCTAACCTTGATTAGCTAATTAGCTTAAGCCAATTTAGCTTCTTTAATCAGCTGAGCAAATTAAGATGATTCAATTTGTAAAATGAGTTGCATTTTACTTAATTCGGTTCACAAGTTTACAATTAAATGTACATTGTATAAATTAAAATGTATGGTCAAGGTTTTACAATAATATTTACAATAATATTAATAAATGGATTGGAATTGGGTAAAAGTTAATTTCGGACAATTTAAATGTTAATTACGATCACAGTTTAATTGTTTCAACCAAGCGCTGGAAAATCAATGTCATTCAATTCATCCAAATAGTTGGACAAGTCATTTAAATTAATTTTTTTCGGTGATTTTTTCGTAATGTCCGAGATGATCGTTTTGAGAGAAGAGGTGAAAAAAGTGATTCTCTCGTGATCAATTTGCTTAAGTGTCGATAAACAATCAATTTGAAAAGCGTTGATTGAATAAATATCACAATTAATTATCTCAGTTAATAAGTAAATATACTTATCCCAACTAACGTTAATATTGGGACAATGATTTAACAGATTAACATTTCGAGGAGAAACAAAATTGGTCAAATTAATGGTGAAAGTTTTCCAATAATTTAGCAAATGATTAACCGTCTCTCTGGTAAGATGATTGGGAGAGTTAACAATTACACTGATTGTTAAATCGTGAATTGCAGTATCCAATATTTTCTTGTGTCTTTCTGGTAGATTAGATTTTCGTACATTGGTTAGCTCAGTGATTAAGGAACTAATTTTAGATACAAGATCGGGAAAAGATTTGCCGCTTTGGATTAATAACTTTCGAATCAAATCACGAACTGAATTAAATGGACCAGAAATGTCCAATTTTCTCTCCAACTTTTCATCGGAAATTGTCGAGTTCTTGAAGAAACTGGTCAACCATTGGGGGTTAATATTGCTGATGATCCATTGGCAGCATTTCTCGCATGTTTTGTGGACAGTTAATCTCGCGGCAAAGGTCATTGTGTCTTTCGTGTAATCGTGAACCGAAAGAAGAAGAGGAATAATTTTTGGCACTTCGAGTGAGCAAAATTCGTGGGCAAATTCTGAACAAAAAGCTCGTATCGAGTTGACAGTTAGAACTCGATGAAAACAAGGTTTTCCATTTTCGCATAATTTAGGATCAGTGATTGTCTCTTTAGCTTGATAGATTATTGAATGTTTCAATTCCTTAATACACCTCGAATAGATTCGTTCAGAAACCAGTTCGATCACTTTAACCAGAGACATTGGATGAAGACTTAGAAAATCATTTTCTAATTCTCGAACTATTTCTTTACCATTTTCAGCGATTAATTCTTGAAATTGTAACTGTCGAGGTGAATTAATTCCAACGGTTGAATTTAGTTTATTGTTTGTCAGAGTAACTGGACGAATCTTTCTTGGAGTTAATCGATTTTTTTCTTTCTGAGGCGATGAAGATGATGGTGCTGTGACAATCAAAGGTTTCGAAGGGCTTGTTATGATTGTCGATAGATTAACAGTTGGATTACAAGTATAATCCTCGTCAATTAATCCATGATATTCATCAAAGTTGATTGTTGAAACGTCACGAGAAAACTCAATCCCTGAACCAGTTTCCAAATATTTGTAATTCTGGTAATCTTCATTGAAAGAATTGATTATGTTGATAAGATAAGCCTTCGTATTGGTATCACATTTGAATCTATTTGATGATAGATTTTCTTTCACTTTACAAATTGCCTTAATTGTATCCTGATAACACTTTAGTCGAGGCGAAACTGTATCCATTTGTCGGAGAAATTGAAGAATCCAGGGTATGGTTAGGGATATTTTCCTCAACTCGACCGATTTTCTGATTAGATCGATAAAATTGATACAGGAAACATCATCTTTCCGAAGTGAAACTTGAGTCTCAATGAATTGAAGGGAACACGAATTGGAAACTTGATAAGGTAGGAAAACAACGAGACCCAAAAATTTGGCCAAAACTTGAAGGGTCAGCGAAAGTGTCGTAAATTGATGTTTGATATTATTCTTCTCGTCGGCAATCAGATCTTCATCGGTCTCTCCGGAAACGGGTGAACATCTATCGGTTTCTTCAATTTTCTGAACCAACATCAACTTAAGATAAGAGTAAAATGATTGATTCTTTATGGTGACAATAAACTGATAGAAAAAAGATTCTTCATCATTAAAGGTAGATGGAGGTTCTACTTCAGCATGATCTAAACGTTTCCTTAGTTTTTTCAGTTTATCGTTTTGAATCGATGAAAGAAATTGATCTGATTGATCATTTGTAAGAAAATTCCTGGTTCCTCCCATGATACAGGTTCGGATAAGTTGAGAGACAAATAATTTAGCCAAATGATACATGTTGGAGGCATCATGAGAAAGAGATACAAGCCGACCAACCGAAGTTTCCAATTGATTTTTCATATCACTTGAGGTATGAGTAGATGAGAATGAAGTTTGCGATTGAAAGTTTTTCCAATTGTCATAAAGTTGATAAAAAAGATCACGTTGATGTCGGAAGGCATGAAAAGCTCTGTCAACAGAAAAGGCTGATTTACAATCGGTTTCTGGTTCATAAGCGACACAATCCAGACTACCAAGAACCTCATTAAACGATAATCTTTTCGAAGACATAATTAAAAAGTGTTTAAAACAATCGAAATAATTAAAAAACCAAAATCAAAACAGAAAAAAGAGTAAAGATTAAGATCTCCAAAAGATTGAGAGAGACAAGAAAAACTTTCAACCAGAAAAAGAAAACATTTGGAAGCACATTAAAAAAAACAATTGGGACAAGAATAGTTGACAATTTAGCAGATCAGTTAATTGCAATGGCCGTTGTTTGATAACAATTAACTAATTAAAAATGAAATTGTACCAAAAAGTAAAACAAAAGTAAAAAATGTAAACAGAAAAGAAAAATTTTCCTCACTTTCTTTTCCCGCCATAAACGAACCAAAACACGACACGTTCTGCCATCTGGTGTATGAATTTTATTATAAGTTATGCTTCTAAATTTAATTGTGAACTTTTCCAAACAATGTGATAATTTAATTTTCTGAGAATGCAACTTGTTGATGGAACTTTTAAAACGGAACTCCAATCTGAACAAACTAATCTTGTTGAACAATTTTGTAGAATTTGTTGATTCATTTATTATAATTACCAAAGTTAATACTTGGTAATAATGATATAAAAACGAATTGAAATAAATTGAATTGATTTACAAACAGTAAACAAAAATGAGTACAATCTAATTATGATTCACTCGCTTGCTAATATCAAATGAGTGTAGTTTGATTGACTACAATTAATAAGATAGAAATGCAAAAAAAAAGCAGATACAAGTACATGTTATGAGTACAAAGAGATGTTAATTGTTACAATTAAAAAGACAACGAGAACTTAACAAAAAAGGATCAGATTGAATAGGAAATGTTTTCTTTAAAAAAGTCAATGGTTCTCATCAATTTGATAGATTAGTTATTTTTAAATCCATATTCAGATGAGGTTGATGATGATGAAAATTGATCCATTTGATTGTAAATCTGCAAATGGTTAATTGTTGATGAATGATTGTAATTGTAATCCTTTCGCAATGATCTTCCAATGTTAATCCTTTGGTTTGGATCAGTGAATAGAGAGTAAAGGTTACCCCGTTGCTTTGGTTGTTCTGTGACTCGACTCCAACTTCTTCGAGTCGATTGACCGTTTGGTTTATTGATTGTCGAAGATGAGATTTGATTGTTGTTGGTTGTTGTTGATATTCTTGATAACGGCGATGAGGATGAAGATCTGAAGCATTTTAATTCGGTCTCATATCGTCCAGCAGTTCTAGACAAATGATTATCGTTATTGTTTCCATCGGAAGATTTAGTGAACAAATCTTTTAATGATGATCGATAGATGGATGAAGATCCTCTCGGATTACCAGAGAATCGTAAATTAGTCAACATACTCGTCGATCCACTTGGATTAGGGGGTAAGATCCTTCGACCTGGTGGCCTTTCTTTACGTTGATTAGTGACGATACTGGATGAAGGTGATGCTGATCGAATCGGGTGTTCGCCTCTCATCATATAATCGTAAGCAACCTCTTCGTAAATATGATATTCAGGAAGAGAGTTATAAGATGATTCACTTTCATTTTCCATGTTATTACGATTCATTACAACAGAATTAAACTCTAATGATCCTCTAAACTCAGCAGAACTTGGTCTAGGTCTATCTTTCGAATAATTGACCTTTTCCCGAAGTCTAACTGATCCAGTTTCCAATTTAGGTAAACGATTTTCAATTGAATTTTTCATCTCAATCTCATCGAGAATACCTAACATACATTTGGCCATTTCACTGATTTTACTTTTCGACATTGAATCTAACCGGGAATCCACCAAATCCTTTGATGAACAATTTCGCAATTGATGCTCTTTTTGGTAATGAGAATGATTATCATGGTGATAAATGGAAACGTGTTGACTTTCAAAATGATTAGCACCCTGATGATTAACAAGATAACTCGAAGGTGATTTCCTTTGGTAATTCATAGTTACATTAACATCATCAACGGTTCTGGTTGGATCAATGATATCATTACTTTTACCATTAATCTTATCACTGAAATGACTTGTAAAGGTATCATCGTGATCTAGAATAAAGGAAGAAACAAAAACACAATCAATTTAGTTGAGAATCACAATTTAATAAAAGAAAACGAAAATGTTGATTGTAAATCTTTTCCTAAAAGATTTGCCTTAAACATTATCCATTCAAATCCCGTTAACTGAACTAAATTGTTTCATGGATAATAATGGTTTTATATTGTATATTTTTGCGAAAGCAAAAAACAAAACAACAACTTAATCAAATAACCGGATTTAAGTAGCAGTTTGGATCACAATCAAGATTAAATATCTTTCCGTAATCTATTGCAACAATAACTACATTCCAAGTCTCCATTTAATTGACCATAACTTACTAATTCTTGAAAATTTTATGATCATTTCGTGATAATAATGTAACATTCAATTTCTTCAGAACTTTTTCTCCATCAAGTTTATATTTTGTTTATCAATTCGATTATATCATCAATTACAATCTAACAATTCTCTCTCTCTCTCTCTCTCTGCTTTAATCTACGTAACAATTTACTGTTTTTCTCGCTAAATTAGTTACCAAATTTACGCCAAGTTAATATACTTTAAATGTGAATCATTTCCATCATAAACATTACCTGTTTTCTTTTTTCATGGAATCATGAAAGTTCCAACTACTCATATTCTTATTTCCTTTCTTATTTTTTCTTCTTCTTTTCATCCGATTAATAGAAATTCAATAAAATATTATTATCATGATCATCACTTGAATTATTATTACATCTTAAAGAATTGTTAATTGTGTGTGTGAGAGAGACAATTTAACACAGTTTCATTTTAGAATAGACAATAAGATTATATCGGATAACCGAATTAAAGTTAATTCCTATGCGATTATCAATTCATTTTAAACTATCAAATTGTTCAAATTATTCTGAGAATATTTTTTTTCACCCTCAGGGTAACAATGAGATAATTATCAAGTTAATCATTATTATTTACCAATCGGAATGTTGACCTTAATCTTGTTCAGCAGGTTATATTGTTTACTTAATTACAGATTAATTTGATAGTTAAATTAGTCCGTATGATTTGGACAATAAACATTAACATGATTAATTGTTTCTATCATCACTTAACTACTTGATTAGGGATTAAATTGTTAGAAACAACATTTTCTCTCAAAAATTAATAATGATAAATACAAAATGGAATCAAAATTTACCCTTTAATTTGGTTCTAATATTTGTAGTTCGATATTTTTCCTCGATCATTTTAACATAGGGAATATCTAATGGATCATCAATCGTTGATTGTGATTTATGATATAAATCAGTTGGAATCTCTTTGGATGCTGGTAAATATTGTGATTCAATTGTAATATTTTCCCGATGATTAGTTAATTGTGACATTGAATCGTTAAAATGTTTACCATAGAGAAGTGAATCAATCTCATTCTCTATTGATTGAGCAGCATTAAATTGTCCTGATTCAATTGCGGTTCTTAGATTGGCACAAATTGGATCTTTTAATATTGATTTAGTTGAAAAAGTTCCTGTTGATGATTTAACTGATGATGATGATGATGAAGATGATGAAATATTATAATTAATACCGTTATTAGCATCAATATTATTGCCATTACCATTAACATTATTATTGGTAAAATCGGTGTTACTATTACTATTGATTGTTGAATTACAATTACTATTTAAACTGTTACTATTAGTACTATTATTGCTTCCAGTATCATTGATACAATCAACGATTCCCGTCTCAAGGCCTGAGGTCACAATTGATGAGACGGAAGAGTTGGATCTCATTGATGAGGTTGATCTCTCTTTCGATTGTTGTAATGGATTTAATTCATCGGGATAATCATTTGAATCAATTGTGCTACAATCAAGGGACATTATCAAACTATTTAAAGGTGAATAATTTGTTAATGGTGTTAACTTCACCTCTTCAAATCGGACTGATTTACCATTAGTATTATTATTAAATGTTGCCGATGTTGATGAGGAATAATTTTGTTGATCTTTATATTCATTTAGGATATCTGATGATTGCGTTGGTGTAATAAGATCACAATCAATTGATAATGATGATGAACTTGTCATTGGTTTGGGTGATTGATGATCGGAGATGCTTATTTGGGGATTATTAATGGTTCGAGTAAATCGAGATGGGTTAACGGTCGCACTGTATTGAGATTGTGAATAGTAATTGTATTGATGATGTTGGTGATGTGATGGTGAAGGTGAGTAATGATGTTGTGAATACCAAGGCTCAGGTGATAATGAAGATGACAAATGTTTACCTGTTGGTCCATTCGAGGTGATTGTTGTTGCTGTTTGGGGCGATGAACAACCTGTACGATGGATTGAGCTTTGTTGTAACATTTGGTTACTTTCAAATGTTGTTGATGATAAAATTGATGATGATGATGGTGAATATGATGTACCTCCGGTTGGTGTTGATGGTGTTATCTTTAAATTACTAACTGTCCTGGGAATTACCGTTGATGCTGGACTTGTTGATCGACTTGAAATCACTGGACTAGCAACTCGAGAATCGGTTGGAGTTGATGTTGATGATGATTCGCATTTTTGAATTGCACTTATAAGGGATTGACGAAGTGTTAATAAATGTTCAAGATGAGCTTCGGTTGTTTGACTTTTCAATCGAGAGGAAACATTCACACCTCTCGAACCGTACGATCCAGAAATCGAGGATGATGATGAGCTACTTGGAATCGGATGATCACGATTTAGAGTTTGAATCTGAGGATTATCCCGGAATTTCATCGATACAGAGGAAATTGTTGATGATGATGGTGAATTAATGTAAGGAAAGTTTGAAGAATTTCTTGAATTAAATCCACCTAATCGTTGGAAAGCCGATAATGACGACGAAGAGTTTGATGAAACCAGAGAATTACATTCTGCTATTTTCGCTGTCGAATTGACTTTATCATCGATCTTCAATTCTGGTACCTTGTAGGGTAAGAGATTCGAAATTGATTCTGGTACTTCGGGTGTGGGACAAAGACTTTTATAACCTGAATCGATTGAATTAGAACCTGCATAGCCAATGGAATCAGCGTCCGATGAACAGCACGAATGTAAATGATTAGGTGAACAACGAATCGACCGATCGGATAACATACGACGACATCGACGTCGAGCCCGTTGATTAATGACCTTATTTCGGGTCACATCATAATCATCCGAATCACTATAAGGGTCACTTGAAGTTAAGCAACTAATAGTGTCCAGAAGAGGATTGGCCAGTGATGAGTTCGAACCGGAATCACTTTGATAGCCCCGAGGTTTATCGTCGTTGGTGCTACTGATTTGTCAACCAATTTATCAACAGTTGATTGTCGAGTTGGTAACAATTTACCTTTACCTGTTGGAATAGGTCGAAATCTCTGATGACAATTAGTCTTATCCGTGGAAACAGTACCGTTATTATTATTACTATCGACACTTTTGATTGAACTTTCGTCAGGTAAGATGATTGATGTCGATTCTAATTGTGAGTCTAATTCATTTGAAGGAACAGAATTTTTCTCAACAATTTGAGTGCTAATTGTTTCAGCTTTAATCATACTAATCTCATTCTCATCAGACACCGAATCAGGTGATCCATTGGCACTACTACTAATATCACTACTACTAATTAAACTGTCAACCTCTTGATTAACAATACTACAATTTGATGACAAAGAATTGGTGCCAACAAGAGTGCTATCGATGACATTTTTACCAACACCACCAAGATGAGTGTTCAATGATGAAGATGATGAGGTTGATGATAATTCCAAGAGTGTTGTTCTTGCCCTTTCATCCCGTTGACCTGAACCTGAGATCATATCTTCAAAGGTCGCGTACATGTCCCACATTTGCTTCGTAAAGTCATCTCCTTGGTGACTTAACTCGGTCTGAATGGAAAAGAATAGAAAATGATTATTAACATTGTTATAAGAAAATTGGTACAAAATGATTGATTGATTGTTAAGATAATTGTGTTAACTTTTAGTCTTTTTGTTTGTCTTGTTAGAGATCAATTAACCATTAGGAAAATGGGACTACTATCATCTTCATGTTTTCTTTTGGTGACATTGAT